CACGGTGCGCCCCCTCCCTTCCCGTATCATGGTTCCTTTTGGACGTCACCACATCAAAAAATCAACACAAGATGTCAAAAAGGCCAAAACTGTCAGGTGCCCAGGGAAGAAAAAAGAGAAAAGAAGAGGAGGAGAAACGAGAAAAAGACAGAGGTAGGTAACGTTAGCCTACATGAAATTATTTGTCTGAATGTGATAGTAACCTAAATTTTTAGGGTTAAGCTAATGTTACATGATTCGCTAATTGCTAATCAATAAATAGCTAGTTAACTGTTTTAACGTCAGTTAATATTGTGGAGGGGGCTAAATTGTTATGGAAAATAATAATGTAACGTTAGGTAATTACAGTACTCCCACCTTTCCTCATTTGTATTCATCTTTTAAGCAGGTGTTTTTTGTTTACATTGTTATTGCCTTCTGGTTAGCTAACGTTTACCCTGCAGGTAATAGTCACTTTTCCACCCCTGTATATATTATAGTTGTAAGCCTAGTTGTTAAAGTGCACATCATTAATGTTACTTAAGCAATATCACATGAGAGGGAATGCTGTTTTTTAATATGAGCACTGCTGTGATTCGGTCAAAGATAATCATAACACAACATTCTCATATGATATTATACTGTTACTTTGCATTCTGCTATTCAGCATTTCACTGTAATGATGACAATAAATTGAATCTAATCTAATTTGCATAAGAGTTAACATCATACATATATCTCTTTGGTTTTTCATTTATATTATATCATTTCATTTTATTCCTGGAATCATATGTTTTTATTATTAGACTTTAATACTCAGTGGTGTCACATACTCCTCTCTTCAGATGCACTGTTGAAGTTTCTAAATCCCACCCCTGTTTATTGTGTTTTATTGTGTTTATGTATGTAAAATTTATTGTATTTCATATATTCATTTTTTATTTTTTGTATTCATTTATTTATTCATATCTTTTTTTATCTTGTTAATTATTCTGATTGTGAATTTGCTTTCTTTAAGTAAAAAAAAAAAAGGTCAAAGACAAAGCTATTCGGTTTCTTGTGAGTACATACACTACACTGCCGATGTAGGGGGGCGCCACCTAAAATCTTGCCTAGGGCGCCAGATTGGTTAGGGCCGGGCCTGTATAGCTGTATGTGAAGATTGGATATTCTGGGCTATCACAGTTTCTCCACACTTCACAGACTTCCATTAAACGAAAAGCCAAATTTAATTATAGTTCTAGGGAGTGCAGGAAGATTGCATTAAAGGGACACATATCACACAGAGACACACACAAAAAAGGCAGCAGTTAACACTCTTTCATTGTCTCTCTGGGTACGCGCAACTGACAACTCAATTCCAGTTAGTCTTCAGGCACCTGCTGCCCTAGTCTTAAACAGTTTTTAGCCTATGAGCCACTGGCTTACAAAAACTCAGAACTTTGCGTTTGATGAATTTCTTTTCTTATCACAGCTGTGTCATTATTTCAGGATACAATAGCTTTCTTTACACTTTATATAGATTGTGGTTTTCTTAAGTACAGTCAGTGTCACAACAAGATGCTATCAGAAACACGTGTGAGGACATGAAAAGTCTCTCACCGTCATACCTGATTAGATTTCCATCAGCTCAGCTAGGAAGTGTTCAGTAAATAAGTGTTCAGGGTCGTTGCACGTGCTCAGCATATGGCGCACGTTTTCAAAGAGGTCAGCAAGTCCAAGCGCAGGAACATTAAAAGCTCTTTCAAGATATCAGCTATGTGGTGTGGTAGATATCTATGACTTCTAGTTGCCTTAGTGAGATTGATGGAGATTCACATGCAGGACAGTACAACCTAAACTGCTGTCACACAGTTGCCCACTTAGCTCCAAAGACAGAATGGCTCTGATTTAACAGTCGGTTCGGCTTTAATTTTCTGTTACAGGGATCATCACTGCGGTTGTCATTTCAATGTTAATGACCTTCACTGGCTAAAGTCATAATAAGCTAGCCAACGTGTTATAGCTCACACAAAGTGCTCAAGAGTTCATTTACCTCGTAAATAAAATGTCAGCATCAACTCAATTACAGCTGTTATCTGCTTCAGAGGGAAGATGTTATCAGCAGGAGTGCAATAATTTCCACCAGCAAAGCCATCTGGCGAGACATTAATTTTATATCCCCCCCCAATCCTCCAACCCCCTTAACATAAAAGGATTAGACATTTTAAAACCCTAATCTATTAATTTACTGTAGTCATGTTAAAATCAAGGTTAATGACTTTGCTAACTGTCTTTAACGGCTGTTATAAATCAAAGTACATGATGCCGTAGGTTAGTATGAAGAAGTATAAGCTGCAAGCATAAATGACTCTTAAACAAGCAACTGATGCCTTGACCTATAGAAAAATATGATTGATCGAGGTGCCTTATTTAAAACAAAACAGTAAACTAGTGTCTTAAGAAAATGTTGTTCTTCACTCGATCCCTTCCATCTGCAATACAAGATCAGGCGGTTTAGATCAGATGTTTCATGGCCCCATTTAGTCACTGCACTCACTACCTGTGCTACCCAAGTGGCTTAAAGACATAATCCCTCATTTTGTCACAGGACTCTAGAGTGCATATGATAAAACAACAACATCAACAACAACAAATCTGATGAGTTGAGGACCTTCTTCAGGCCTGTCCAGCTATCCTAGAATCTCCACCATGCTCTTGAGGCAGTGCTGGGAGACGTAACAAACCTTTTAGCAATGGAACATACTGATGTGCCATCCTGGAGGGGCTGGACTACCTGTGCAACCTCTGTGGGTTCCAGGTATCACCTCATGCTACCAGTAGTAATGCTGTTTTGGGGTTTTTCTCATAGTTATCACTCTGTTGTTAATTTTTATTTACACCAAAGCAACTGAAACAGTTTAAAACCCCCTTGCTGCTTAACTGACCAGATCAATAACCCACAAGTTGAACTGACTTGATACTATACTCTGATTAAAACCGTCCCATTCATTTTTTCCCCCCGTAGCCAACACATATGATATAAAAGTAAGAAGCAGCAACATGCCCTTTTAAACACTATGATTAATTTTCTTCCAAGATCTCATTTAAAGTGTAACTAAAGTCCGGTGAATGATCTGCTGCTTGGTAGCAATAAAGCCAGCTGACATATTTCAGTACTGTCTCAATGTAGCTTCATGTCACATAAAAGTGTGAATGTAACAGCAACATAATTGACCTTTTAAGGGGACTGTTTTGTTTGTGCATACCTGGTGACACAATGAATGCACCTGCTGGTGCAATACGGTGAGTCACATAGCTACAAGCCTGTAACTCTGCGCAGTATAGGAGGGTGACTGCAGTATGCTTGAAACCATGTTGGAGAGCAGTGAATGCAAACATTTATACAAAGCTAAAATGATTCAGTTAGAACAGTTTATTACTTTTGTTTGTTTAAAATTTGAGGTCAGTTTAAAGCTAAAACTGGTGACAATAAATGAAACCGCAAACCAGTGCTTGGAGAAAGTTAAAGAATATGGTGAACAAAGTGGAACATTGGACTCCTGAAGAGACAGCTATCCAAAGCTCTATGAGGTTTTAATCATGAGGTGATGGAAAACATGACTGTTAATGAGTGTCGGCTTATGTTCGTGCAGCTGTTAACTGTTAACATACCTGATTCATACCCCCATCCTCTCCACACCCTCTCACCCAGCATTACCTCTTTGGCTTCTTCAGCCTTGTGTCATGATCCTGTGTTTTGTCATTGTAGTTTTCAGTTTGGATTTTACATTTGCTTAAATTATGTTTTCATTTTGATCTTGTTAGTTATTAAGTTTTTCCTGCCCATCTGTTTCCCCCCCATGCCTAATCTGCATTTCTATGTTATCTCCCGTGTTTAGTCAGTTTTGTCTTTGTAGTTGCTTTTTTCTGTCAAGTTCATGTGTCTTTGTTTCAGTCTCAGTGTGCTGGTCACTTCCTGTTTTATTTTGATAGTCACGTGTGTGCAGTTAGATTATGTTCAGCTGTGTTCCCCAGGTGTTTCCTCTTTGCCACGATTCCCTTTTGTATATAGATAGTCTGTATCAATCTCTTTCTAGTGTCATAATCTCCTTCATCCCTCTACTGTGTGTTCTGTCAGTTTGTATTCCTGAGTTCCTGTTTTTGTCAGTCTCCTGCATGTTGGATCCTACCCCGTCTTCTTCACACAGCATTAAATGACACTTTGAAGGTCTAATAAAGGCAGTGAAAATACATGTATGTATGTATTGGGCTGTAAACAGGGTTAAGAATGCCAAACATAGTTTTTGTCTTGTTTCTTAGGTATTTATAAGCTGTAGATGATTTCACATTACTCTGCTCATTGAATGCTGTGTGTACTGTAATTTTATTCAAATGGCTTTGTCAGGGAATTACTGGGAAGTGAAATACTGTAGCAGCTTGGCTTGGGATGAAGAAAAACTCAGTGAATTTGGTTTGTCTACTCAATTATGGCAGGAACACGTGCACATGGTTCTTATTTTAGAGAAAAGAAATGTCTCAGAATATTTCCCCTTTACTGAATAAGCTTCCACTATTATGGTTTTGCACAAATTGCTCTGACGGTTGCTGTGCAACAGCCAGTGAAATAAGGCTTGTTACATGCTACATTATAGTGGGACTGTACACTTAACTGCAGTTGTGTCGCATAGCCTGAGTGGTGTAAACATCCTCATTCTAGGTAATCTAAACAGTGGCGTTATGAATGTGTGGGAACCAAGAACATAATGATCATGATGCACACTGACCACAATATTCAACTGAAGTTGCTCACCATTTATTTGTTACTTGCTTCCTTTTTCTGCTGATCTCTCAGTCCTTTTCTCCAGAGTCCTGCCATCCCCCCACCCCCCAGCTTCATTCCCTTATCCCCTCTTTCATTTGCCCTGTCTTTATAACTCTCCCTCCTGACTGAGCTAAAGGAGGAAACTGAGAGCAAAGTATGTGGAGTCCCTCCCAGACACTCCACTGCTGGTTAGTGAGGAGCCACTGCCAAGCAGGCAGGCACACTGCACCAGTGTGTCATAGTCTGTATCTCATCTTGCTCTGTTACCGAAACTTCTGATCAGCCAGCCATCCAAATCCTCTCAGTCTGGTGAACAGAAACGGAAACAAGGGAAGGGAGAAAATTACAGAGGAAGGGGGTGTATGGGGTAATTTGTTCAGTGGTGTAAAGTAGTAAGAGGGAAGGCTGCAGGGAAATGTGGGCTGGGTTACACTGGCACTTAAAAAGAAGCTTGCGTTGACTCCTGTGCATTTCACCAGCAGCCAGGCTGGGAGGCAAATAAGGGACGAGTGAAGGAGTGGATGAGACAACAGCTTCAGGGGGAAGGTGTACTCTCACTTCATTGAAGCAAGTGTATTTTTAGCCCTTCCACTCAACTACTTCACTTCACAGCTTTTTCTTCCACTGTGTCTTGGTGGGGGCTAGCCATGGGTACTGGTTTGGACAGGTTTCTGTGGTCAGTACTGCTGCTGCTGCCAGTCTTTGGGCAATCTGAGGCTCTGCCAGAAAGCTGGCTGCCTGGGGAATATTCAGACACCATCAGTGATGCACAAAGGTTCCTCAGTGACTACAACAGCACCGCCGAGGAGGTGTTTTTCCACAGTGTCTCTGCCAGCTGGAACTACAACACCAACATAACAGACCACAACTCAAAGCTTCAGGTAAGACATCTGCAGTCTCGAGCTCACAAGACAACTCGGTGGCCAACTCTTGCTCTCATGCTGATGTTTCATTGTCCACTGTACATCACTCTTGTCAGTACTAGCATCTTGTCACCAGAAATGCAGAGTTTTCTGGGGAATTCAGCTCTGCTTGACTTGGAGATTACTACTATTCATCTCTCTCCAGCATTGCATGCTCAGTTTCCTCCCAACGCAGCCAACTCTGCTTGCGCTTTACTGGAAAATAAATGAGATCTGAATGCCTGTGGTGTGAATGTCTTTAAAATATAATTCTAATGGGTCTCGCCTGCTCTTATGTTGGCCTTTTTTCTCGAGTAACTGTTTGCTTTATGATTCTTCTGCTTGAAGTATTTTGTCCTTATGGTAGCACTCTCTACTAAATGTAGTTTTGCACACACCAGTAGTCTTTATAGCCCGTTGTGGCAATATTTGCAGCCAGTAAAATGCCTTTTTAAAGCAATTTCAAAATGTGTTTCTTAGAAGGGAGCTGCGACACGTTAATATCAGATTGCAATTGTTCTAAAACTGCATGTTACCACAGGTTTGAGAGACAGTTGCATTAAAAGCTTAGGGACACGATAAAGCCAGTAAGGCAGCAGAAAAGTACAGTGAGACTGGAGTCAGAAACCAACAAAGCTGCTGCGGTGTGGAAAAATCACACCCATGAAATAGTCAAACATCCAAGTCCTGTTGGACAGCTGTTGAAACAGGAATTTGGTAAACTATCTAGGCTTTGAACACTACTTCCCTGACAAACACACAAACAACAGGTGTCCCACACTGAACTCCTTGAACAGGGTCAATCTACAGAATGTGTTTTGTTCCGCAGCCTGCTTTTGTGATGGAAGGTGAAAGACAAGCAGCCTCGCACATGCTGCGCGTGAGCATATTTTCCTCCTCTGAGTTTTTTTTAAAGAAGGATCAAAGTGAATCTGAGCATAGAACTCCGTCTAATCTGGTAACCAGTCAGCTTGACAGAGACATTTTGCGATATGGGCTGCTCAGCGAATCTTGTGCAGTTAAATATTTTGAAAAGTTATATTTGCACACTGCTCGTTCACAAAAAGCAAATATGTGCATAAACACACTTTACTTGTCGCTTCAATGGATGCAAAGGTGATTGTCATTGCAAGTTAAACTTTTGTACGTGGAGAGGATCAAATAGGAAAAAAAGTTAGATATCAGCAGATGTCAAAATCAGAGGCTTTGGCATCCATTTCATTACAAACATACAGAGCTTCTTTTTTTCAATGCTACTTGTATGTGTTCATATTATAGAAAATGTTGCATAACTTAGTGCACATTTTTCTTCGACATTAGTGTTTTTTGAGATGCAGATGTTTTAAAAATATCTTTAAAAAATTGAAATGTAAAGTCTGTATTTCTGTAATCAGTTTAAATGCTAATAATAGGTGAGACAGCTCATTCCAAAAGGTAAAATTGAATTTAAATTTGTAAACTAATTTATTACTAGTAGAAAATATATAAATGTAGCAGAAATTGAGTGCAAGCTTACAGACAGAAAATGATTGCGAAAAATAGAGATTGAGAGGTAGAGCACAAAGATCAGAGTTAATGCTTCTCAGCCGCACCATTTCTTTGTTTTTTTTCCTTCTCCTGCAGCCTGTTATTTTAGGGAAGGCTGCTAAAGAAGCAGATAAGAAAGGCTTACAGTGGAAACATTACTTGTGAGAAGCTACTGTTCTGTCAGCATGTGTGAGGCGCAAATAATGGTTGCATCAATATGCGTGTGCAATTATTTTGTAATCTTTTTCATACTTATAGAAGCTAGTCTGATTTTCTCTACACCTACTACAAATAATAAAAAGCTGCAACACCACTAAAGGAATTCTTTACAAAAAAAATCAGAGGTGCATATAAGATGCACAGTTTATAGAGGAGCAAATGAGTGTTGAATGGCACAGCGGCCTTGAGTGCATCCATTCTTCTGAGGCTTATTGTTCATGACCTATGTCTTCATGATTGCTATAAAAAGAAGCTCTTGACACTTACTGGAGCAGCAGATAAGCATGTGGACTTGAGTAGCTATAGCATTTTTTTCTTTTTAGAGATGTTATCCTTGAACAAGGGTTATTTCACTTAGCACTTGCTCAGTAGCTAGGTAGAGCTCTTTATTGCCACCACGGGGAAGATGTATTGTTACAGCTATCAATAAACCAGCAACTTGAAGACATATTCTAGTTACACAGTTACGGGACAAAGACAGAAGGCTGGTAATGATGACATTAGATGAAAAAGTAGAAATGATAAAGATTAGCTTAAATCCTTGCATCAAACTCAATGTTCAGCCATCCATCAAATTTCAAGAAATCTGCATGATTCTTTAAGGGAGACTAAATGTAGGCTATTGCTCTTATTTTTACATTTAATTATTTATTTCTAATAGATTGTAAACATAAATATTTATTTATTTTATGTGGGAGTCACTTTTTAGTTCAGGCTCAGTAGTTTGACTGCGTATTTCAGTATGCCACTGTAGTTGTGCTGCTTGGGCAATACATTTTTTTCCGAGGACCCACACGAGAAACTGGGACTGTTATGGAGGGCCACACCGATAAGCCAGACTCAGTCCTACTGAGTTGGTGCAGCCCTCCACAACAGTCCCAGTTTCTCGTGTGGGTCCACGGAAAAATGAATTGCAGACTCATGATGCAAGATGAAGAAAGACACCCGCGTTGCATAAGATATGTTTTACACGGATGCTGGCAGTTACATTGCTTTGAAAGTGCACTCTGGTCTATAATAGCAGCTTGTAAAACTGATCCGTCCTTTCATTTTCTGGAGGATGACAGTCTTCACAAAAAACTGGCATGTGTTATAACAAGCTGATAATAAGAGTCCAACCCCGTATGACTTTGTGCCAACAGCTAGTTCCTACAGTACAGCTCAACAGAGACTTTCACCAAATCTGAGTTTTCTCAAGTGTTCACTTATGCTCTTGACAGATATCAATAATTCAAATATTTACAAAAAAAAAGAAAGGAAAAAAAAAGAATGATCCTGCACCTTTGGCTTTTTCATGGTTTAAAAAAACACATGCCATAAACATTATTGATAATTATTATTTATTGCTACCTCTTGAGAGACCTATCAATGCACTGTTTAAAATATTTAGTAGCCGTATCATTTACGTCTACCTTGTTTTGTCTTTAGGTAAGTGCATCTCTTGAAGAACAGGCATTCGTGGAGGCATGGGGGATCAAGGCTAAGCAGGTCTTCTCTTCTGGAGTTCTCGACACCCTTCCTGACCCTAAAGACAAAAAATTGATGGAAAAGATCATGCTACTCGGTGCTGCCAACCTTCTCCCGAAAGAAAGAGAGGAGGTTTGTCTGTCAGATATTTAAGTCGGTAACCATGTTTGTGACACTGCTAAACTCTTTTGTATCTTTTTAAAAAAAATTCTCTACAGTATAACACCATTCTGAGCACCATGGACAATATTTATTCGACATCTAAGGTGCACCCACAGCCAAACATCAGCTGGAGTCTGGAACCTGGTGAGTTCACTATAATAAATGCTCAGTTTTGAAGATCAAACAAGACAAGCAAATGATATGATGCAAGAATTTTTAAGATGTTCAAGGCGAAACAAGGCAGTGTTAAAGAATATGAACAAGTCAACGATGCCCGGGGAAGAAAACACTTTTAAGCGATTAAGATCTTATCAGCTTTTAAAAGTAGCAGGATGGGGATATTCACTTCAGGGAGGTCTCCGGGGGAAGTGCTGTGGTTATGTTGAGTGAAAATCTAGAGAAAAAACACATGGGTAGCTTTTAACTTCAGCAGTGTTAATTGTGAACAATAGTCCTTTGTGCTTTGCTGGCAAAAACTTCATAAAGTAACAGTGAGGCAAGAGTGCAAAACCAATCAGTTCTGCTACAATTTTTTTGTTTGTATAAGTAAATGCGTTCATTAAGGTGCAGTCCCTGTTATTGGTTTCTTATTCTTGGAAATTATCCATCTTGGGTTACTCCATGATGCATTCCACTCACAAAAACACTACTGTCTCTATCATAACAAAAACTTCCAGGTGTCGCTTTTCCCTGCCATTTTCTGTGCAGCTCACCTCACCTTTTCCTAACCTTCATTTCCTCTCTCTGGGATTTTGAAGAAAATTGTTGGTTTAAGTAATTGTCAAAATAACACTGAGTTATCACAAGTCTTCCTGCTGTGATAACGCGAGCAGACAGTAATCTAACCACCAGCACATCACCATGTGTTCAGGAAAACCTGAAGCTTTTGAGTGTAATGCACCGGATTAGCATCTTCCTGATTGTAACACTTTTTCCACATCTTTTTGCATTTCTATTTTAAAGAGCTCACAAAGATCATGGCTAACTCCAGGAGCTACAAGACGCTGCTGTATGCCTGGGAGGGCTGGCACAATGCGTCAGGCGTGCCACTCAAACAGTACTATCCAAGCTTTGTGGGGCTCAGCAACAAAGCCTCGCGAGCTGATGGTAAGTACTCCTTTTTAGCTGTTGATATCGAGCAGGAGATTCCTAATGGAGGGAAGAAGAAGCAAAGCAGAGTGAGGACACAGAAGTAGAAATGACCACATTAACATTTTTGCCCTGTTCAGGATTTCAGGACACTGGAGATGACTGGCGCTCTTGGTATGAGACTGAAACTTTTAGGCAGGACTTGGAAGAAATCTACAAGACCATTGAGCCGCTCTACCTGAATCTGCACGCCTTTGTGCGCCGCCAGCTCTACAACCAGTATGGCCCCAAATACATCAACCTTAAAGGACCTATCCCTGCTCACTTGCTAGGTAAAATGCATGCAGTATCCATCCAATATGAGCTACATGTACATGCATGCATTACTTAGGAGTTGGTTGGCCAAAAAAATATAGCAAAAAATGAGAAAGGGCAGGGTGGTCTTTAATTTGTAATTTATTACGATGTATTTATTTTTAACATTAATGTCTTTAACATAAACAGTAATTTTTAATCATCTGTAGTAAACACATATGCCATGGCCAATATAAGCTCAGAGAATTAGGATGCAGGCACACCATGGGAGTAGTATAATGCTCTTATCTCACTGCTGTGCATAAACATGCTGCAGCAGGCATTTCCTACAGTGCTTGTGAGTGGTCCACAACACAGTAAGTCAGAACTGTTGCTTAAGTGTGTTTTCCTCCTCACCCCCAGGAAATATGTGGGCCCAGACCTGGAACAACATTTATGATATGATGATCCCATTTCCTGACAAACCTAACATTGATGTGACTGATGAAATGGTCAGACAAGTAAGTAGGACGGGAAGCTTTTATGGAACTAGATTAGGTTAAAGGAGGAGGGGAAAGAACGTTCTCTGGTTCTTCCAGACCATCAAGCTTTCACTGCAATTCAAATAATTTTGTCAAACAGCATTAATTGCGACTAGCCTGATTGTTTCCACTTCGCAGGGCTATAACGCCACACACATGTTTCGTGTGGCCGAGGAGTTCTTCACCTCTCTGGGTTTGGAGAGGATGCCTGAGGAGTTCTGGGAGGGATCCATGCTGGTTAAGCCTCAGGGTCGAGAGGTGGTGTGCCACGCGTCTGCCTGGGACTTTTACAATCGCAAGGACTTCAGGTAAAATGAATTTTAGTTGTGCTTCACATATTTTTCATTGCTAATAAAACATAAAATTCTATTCACATTGCATTCCCTATTTAAGAATTAAGCAGTGCACCACAGTCACGATGGAACAGCTCTTCACTGTACACCATGAGATGGGACATATTCAGTATTACCTGCAGTACAAGGACAAGCCTATGGGCTTCCGCAGTGGAGCCAACCCTGGTTTTCACGAGGCTATCGGTGATGTTTTGTCCCTTTCGGTTTCTACGCCCAAGCATCTGGAAACCATTAATCTTCTGGAATCTGTGACATCTGACATCGGTAATAGCATGAACACAGAAATAAAACCTTTCCATACCACCAACATCCCTTCTGGTGGGCTTCAGTACCATAACTAAGAAGGCTTCCGTATAAGGGCATCTTTTAGAAGCAACACTGCAACACTGTGTAATTTATCCCCAAGACTCTAATACCAGAAGTGTAATAAAATCCCGATTTTTATACACTCAGACAACTGAGATGAATTCTTATATCAATATCTTTCTTATCCTATTTGTTTGTTTGTTTGTCTGGTTTTACTAAATGACGCTTTGTGTTTCTCTAGAAACTGACACCAACTACCTGCTAAAAATGGCTCTGGAGAAGATAGCCTTCCTTCCCTTTGGCTACCTTATTGACCTCTGGAGATGGGATGTCTTTAGTGGAAAGACCCCTCCGGAGCGTTACAATGCTGACTGGTGGTATCTCAGGTAGGAGGTTATGCATAGAAACTGTTGTACAAGTTAAAAGAATTGCTTGTGAAATATGTTTGGACAGAATGGTTTTCTTGATAAGCCTATAGTCGAGTAACAAAAGGCATCTTTGGGTGCTAGGCAACCAGCATAGACTCAAGAAAGTTAGTGCTTTATTCATCTTGGAGGGAAACGATTGCCAATTACAATGACTGACATGTGACAAACTGGTAATTATTAGAGCAGGGGTCTTGCTGGATTAACCTGTCTCTTATTTCTTTTAACAGAACAAAATATCAAGGCATCTGCCCACCCACCAGGCGTACAGAGGAGCACTTTGATGCTGGGGCAAAATACCACATCCCTGGGAACACGCCGTACATCAGGTAAGCATCCTGTGATGGAGACGATTGATTGGATTATTGATATTTTCAGGACAGCCATCTGTAAAGCACGATAGAGGCTCTGTCATGGTTTGGGGCTGGATTTCAGCCAGTCTGACAAGGAGATCTTGTCAGTATTATTGGAATTATGAAATCTTTAATCCACCGTGTAATATTATGTTATAGATTTGCAATGACTTACATTTTCAGCATGACAGTGATCCCAAACACACTGCCAGTACATTAAAAGTGTACCGGGATAGAAAAAAAACCACAACATGGAACAAGATCAGTCATGGATCGGCCTCCCCAGAGTCCGGACATGAACATTATTGAAGCAGAGTAGGATCATCTATACAGAGAACAGAACAAAAGGTGGCCAACATCCAAAAAGGAGCTTTGAATGTCTCTCAAGAAGAAGTTTGGAGAACTATTCCTGAAGACTTCTGTGTTCAGGCTGTGTTGAAGAATAAAGACGATCATATTAAATATTGACTTTCATTGTTCGAATCACACAAACTATGTTTTTGCCTTGTGTGCTGCATTTCCATGTGTGCAGACTTTGCACAGTACTGTATTAGTGCCTTAATAATAGGTATTGTGTGAAGGGCAACTCTGTGGCTGAAGTAAAGGCAGTGAACATGCAACAATGCCTGACAAGCTGAAAGTATGGTATTGTGTGCGGCACTTTCTTGCGGTTTTAAAACAATACTACGGGCCTACAATAGCAGGAAATGTAGCAGAAGCTGGGGTGGTATGAGAAAATCCTCTGACTTCATCTGGTTTCATTTAGGAGATGGAAATAAAAATCACAGACACAGTTACTTTAACAGAAAAAGATTGCAGAGCTTTCATATGTGTGGCCTCAAACACACAATTTACATAATTCGTATCCTCTAAATAGTCATTATTTTCTGTCATTTAATTATTTTTCTTTTACCTTGTTTGGTATACGACCTTCATTTGCAAAAGTTAAAGCTTTTCTTTTCCCCCCTGCAGATATTTTGTCAGTTTCATCCTTCAGTTCCAGTTTCATGAAAAACTTTGCGAAGCAGCCAAGCACACAGGTCCCTTGCACACATGTGACATCTACCGGTCTGCGGAGGCGGGAGCCATTTTAAAGTGAGCTGATTATACCTTCAAGTTAAATACCAGGATTATAATTAATGGCTTATGAAGGAAAAAATAAAGATGCAATGCAATTTCACTCTTATCCCTCCAGGAAAGTCCTTCAGGCCGGCTCATCTGAAAGCTGGCCAGTTGTGCTCCAGGATGCTATAGGCACTAATAAATTAAATGCCAGCTCACTCATGAAGTACTTTGAGCCAATTATTGAGTGGTTGAACAAGCAAAATGTGAATGAGACGTTGGGATGGCCAGACTTCAACTGGGTCCCACCTATGCCTGAAGGCTACCCAGAAGATATCGGTAAGTTACCGGATTGAGCACAACAAAGATTATTTACATCTTATAAATGTCATCACAAGTGGCAGCATTAGAAACATATGAAACATTAGTTCGGTGACTTATTTTTAACTGACTTTCTTTTTTCCTGTTTACACAGACAAGAACACAGATGAGCTTGATGCGCAGAAGCTTCTGGAAGAGTACAACAGTACAGCTGAGGTGGTATGGAATGCATACACTGAGGCCTCCTGGAAGTACAACACCGACATCAATGAAGCCAATAAGCAGGCAATGGTGAGGCCCACTGACCAACCAGCTCAAAGGAGATTACCTTAACCATGCTCAAGCACCAGCTCTGCTCATAGTTTTGCTGAATCAATAAAATGAATTTTCTTGATCAAACTGTGTCAATGAATCAATAACTGATTGAGTTAATGTGTCACTAATAAATGCATGTGTGCATGATTCTAATTACCTACACACTGGTCCATCCATCCATCCATCCATCCATTTGTTGATCTGTCCGTCCATCCATCCATCCATCCATCCATCCATCCATCCATCCATCCATCCATCCATCCATCCATCCATCCATCCTGCTTTCATTGGCATATAATGAAAATTGTTTAATATAAAATAAATGCTATTCATTATTCTTCCTTAGCTTGAAAAGAACCTGGAGATGTCAGCACACACCTTGAAGTATGGACTGCAGGCCCGTCAATACGACACCACTGACTTCCAAGATGGCTCGGTCAAACGCATCATTAAAAAACTCAGTGACATCGAGAGGGCTGCGCTCCCCTCTGCAGAACTGGAAGAGGTGTGAAGGCAATTCCTGTGTGAGAGTATTCAGAGCTGCTTGCTTGATGTTTAAAACACCTCTAAGTGTTCCTCAACAACGATGGACATGCAAAAGGGAGGGAGAATATAAGCTACCGCAATCAGAGACTATACATGAAATATATTTAAAGGAATGTCTCTTTGTTTTGACCCCACTTGCACCAATGTGAATATGTTGGCATTGTTTTAGGAAGGTGCAAATAACCCTACTCTATTCTAAAAGAAATGCATTTATCTGATGAGGTCTTGGCTCCAGAGCAGCTGTAGAAATCTGTCAGATACATTTAATAAATGTCACAACCTGCTAATAATTTCACTTGGATCAAAAGTAGTTTTTTTTTTTTTACCTTTTTAGTACAATACGCTCCTGTCCAACATGGAGACCAAGTACAGCGTGGCTGAGGTCTGCAGAGAGAATAATGAATGCCTCCCTCTGGATCCAGGTATGACTATGGAAAAAATGCTGCAGATTGACTTCCAGATAAATAATGGCTTTTGGTAGCTGATACACGTGATAAGGCTAAATAGTACAATTATTATCACACTGCCTTAGAGAGTATACAGTGAGCAAAGTTTGCATGATGAAATATTTTAAAATCTGTTTCAGATCTCCAGAAGATCATGGCAGAGTCCAGGGATTACGATGAGCTGCTATTTGCCTGGAAAGGATGGCGAGATGCTGCTGGCAAAGTACTCCGTCAGGATTATAAGAGATATGTTGAACTGGCCAACAAAGCTGCCACACTAAATGGTATGACATTTAAATGTAATTTTACTCCTACTGTGAGATTCTTCATTAATCTGTCCTGCTGGAAAACTTTCAAAAGTTTGGCCTTGATGGAGACAGCAGTTATAGAACAGATTTTTTTTCAGATGCATGGCAGTCAAAGTGTGGTTAGTATAAATAAGTGGAGTCAAGGAACTGCTTTAGTCAGTCCATCATATTTATACTCACCAGATACTTTGTTAGGTTCCGAGTTCAACCCCCTTTTGCATTCAGAGCTGCCTCCTCGGCAGAGATTCAACAAAGTGCTAGAAACATTCCTCAGAGAGGCATTTCACCCAGAGAACTGCTGCTTTTATTCTCTATAAAACTCAGAGATGGTTGTGTGGGAAATATCCAGTAGGTCAGCAGTTTCATAAATACTACAACATTGAAAACTCACTCATATCACCTCTCTTCTTCATTTAGATGCTCAGTTTAAACTTAAACAGGCCGTCTTGATCATGTCTTTATGAACTGCTGCCATATTTCCCAGAGGAACCCACCCGAGGGATTAATAAAGTTCTATCTAATCTAATCTAATCTAATCTAATCTAATATGACTGGCTGATGTGATTAAGCGCTTGCATTAATGAGCAGCTGAACAAGTGTGTCTAACAAAGTGTGTGTGTACATATACAGTATCTCCAAAGTGACAGAGCTGTGTGTACACACAGGGTATTTGGCTGATGGTATATCTAAACAATGAGGACATATAAGGATTTGCAGTAAACTGTCGCACACAGATTCACATTTTATCAAGACCAGGAGTTAAATCATTTGCTCCACAGCACTTATCCTCAGCCAGAGTCCTAAGCTTCATCACACCCAAGGTTTTTCTTTTTCTTTACCTAAAAGTTTTAAAATTTTAAACAATTTGTCTTTTAAAATATTGTCCTTTCAGGTATTTTATCAAAGAGATTTTTCCATTTTGCAGTGACACAGCAGAATGTATTATCACACCAGGCGGCTGACATTATATAGTAATAAAAACACACTTTATCTTATATAGAGTTTAAGATTACACATTACTTGTCAGTGTTTAGGAAATGAAGACCTAATAAAAAGATATCTGCTATACAGTCAGCAGATTTGAACTATATATACTGTTAATTATTTACTAAAAATTGTTGGATTATGCAACATGCTAGGTGAATGTTTTACTCTCAAATAAACAGCAGCCTTTTTCTGACACCCCAGTAATATGAAATAAATCACTTCTCCAAATCAAAACACTTTACATGATGATGTTTAAAGTATTCCTCTGATTAGTATTAAGGTGTTTCTCTCTGGCATTCTCTGTAGGTCACTCTGATAATGGAGCTTTCTGGCGTTCCCTGTATGAAACGCCTACCTTTGAAGAAGATCTGGAGACTCTGTGGAAGGAGCTGGAGCCACTCTATCTAAACTTGCATGCTTATGTTCGAAGGGGTCTATACAATAAGTATGGCTCCAACTATATCAACCTAAAGGGGCCTATTCCTGCTCATTTACTTGGTAAGTAATGCGATTTGACTGCACTCGAGGCTCTATGTGGACTTCAGATATTTAGTTTTTTTGATGATAGCAAGGTCACAGGACAGAACCACTTTTCAGCCAGCGTTTCACTTTGGAATCCCAAGTATTCTAACACTATAGACACAACTCTCCTTTTATGTCTGAGAGTAGCCCCTTCATATTCTGTCGTTGACTGTAGAAGCGTTTGGATTTAGCCAAGATTTAATTTGCTTTCAGGGGCATCAAGCGTGAGATTGTGTGTGACAGTTCCACATGGTCAGGGATTGGAGCGACTCACAGTCCTAAATCCCACTTGGTTAAACACTGGCACAGCCGATGACCTTCTACCTGACTTCTTAAGACTAAAAATATGGAACATGAGTACTGTTTTTTCTCTTTTTCAGGCAACATGTGGGCACAGACGTGGTCTGGCATAATGGATTTGGTCATACCCTACCCAGACGCTACACAGGTTGACGCCACCCCAGCCATGGTGCAGCAGGTGAATCGATGCATGAACCAGCCGTTGCTTTAAAGCCATTACTGCACACTTCCAAATCCAAGGAAGCATGCAGAAAACATATGCAAGCATCTTTTCTTACAGTCTTTCTCATTTCTCTCACTCAGGGATGGGATGCCATCAGAATGTTTCAGGAATCTGACAAATTTTTCACCTCACTTGGTTTGGAGCCAATGCCGCCGGAATTCTGGAACAAATCTATGCTGGAGAAGCCGTCTGATGGACGCCAGGTGGTGTGCCACGCCTCTGCGTGGGACTTCTATAACCGAAAAGACTTCAGGTTGAGCCTAACCTTTTTCCCCTTCAAGCTAGAATCAAGAGACACGTAGCAGCCTGGAAGCCTTACCAAAATCTTACAGAATATCAGTAAAATCTCAGAATCTTTATATGATACTTAACAAAGGCACTCCCTGAAGAAGCCTGATAATGAAATGGGATGGCATGTACGAAAAACTTTTATAGTCTTCTTCTTTTCACGCATGTTCAGCTAATGTAAGAGCCTCATTTGCTTTCTGTTCACTAATATGGTTGGTTTAGAATCAGCAACTGCCCTAACATGCTGCTCCACTGTGGCATCCACCTCAAATCTTCTCCAACCCTTGATCATTTCTAATATAATTTCCAAACTGTTGGAGATTATATTATATGTCTCCTTCCTGTTGGGCTGCCACAGTTTGTCCTCAAAGAAAAACTATTGGCTCTGAGAAGGCAAAGATAGGCATGGCTAAGTAAAAGGGTATTTTTGTATTACTTTGGATATTGTTTTAGCAGAACATATAAACTATATATGTTTACTATGTCTATTATTAGTATTATTTGTGTGAGGTGGAGTCATGAGTTTGTCTTTGAAACATTTTCATAATTTGCTCTAATGATTTCTTTGGTTGCTTCTCCAGGATCAAGCAGTGCACTGTTGTCACAATGGATGACCTGATCACCGTGCACCACGAGATGGGCCACATTCAGTATTTCCTGCAGTACAAAAACCAGCCCGTGTCCTTCCGTGACGGAGCCAACCCCGGCTTTCATGAGGCCATTGGAGATGTACTTGCCTTGTCTGTGTCGACACCCAAACATCTGCAGAGCATCGGCCTCCTGGACAAGGTTGAGAACAACTATGGTGAGTGATGTTTGCAACAAAAGCAAAATCTTTGAATGCATGTTGCTGTATTACAGCATATGATTTTGGCATTGATAAACACCTCATTTAGAGAGTGACATCAACTTCCTGATGAGCATTGCACTTGACAAGATTGCCTTCCTACCTTTCGGCTACCTGATGGACCAATGGAGGTGGAAGGTGTTTGATGGACGCATCCCACACACCGAGTACAATAAAGAATGGTGGAACCTCAGGTAAAGTTTATATCACAGAAATTGCATTTATTGCATTCATAGATGATGATTCACTAAGGAATTATAACAAGCATGCATGCCTCTTTTCTTTGTATTGCAGATTGAAGTACCAGGGATTGTGCCCACCTGTAACACGCACTGAGGAGGACTTTGACCCAGGTGCAAAGTTCCACATCCCAGCTAACGTTCCCTACGTCAGGTAAGGCTTTCTGATTCTCAAGAACAAACGCATGTGATATTTTATCACCGATAAGTGATAAATGATTCCATACTCATCACCTCATCATGATTGATAAGATAAATATGCTGTGGAACACAACACGATCTTACTATTGTGCAGTAGCACAACTGTACACTGAGCATAGTGCTGACCCTACTTTTTTTTTATCATCTTCAATCAGGTATTTTGTCAGCTTCGTCATCCAGTTTCAGTTCCACAAAGCTCTGTGTAATGCTGCCAAGCATAATGGACCTTTATACACTTGTGACATCTACCAATCCAAAGAAGCTGGAAAGCTCTTAGGGTTAGTACGCACACTTACACACACGCAAGTGGAGATGCTCATATGTATGCTATTTTTTTGTTTTCAGCACTGGCAGTTTAATTGTTTATCCGAGACATCCTTATTAGTTATCCTAGTCTTCTCTGACCTTCTCTCTAACCTTTCTATTGCTGTTTTCAGTGATGTAATGAAGCTGGGCTTCAGCAAGCCCTGGCCTGAGGCTATGGCTATGATCACTGGCGAGTCCAAAATGAGTGCCCAGCCACTCATGGAGTACTTCCAACCTCTCATTGAATGGCTTGAGAAGGAGAACAGCAAGAACAATGATGTTCGCGGGTGGCCAGATTACGACTGGAAGCCTTTTAGTATGTTAACAGAAACACATACATGTATTCACTCATCAAAACTTTGCTAATAAGTTTTCCATAGTCAAGGCCAAACGTTTCTGAACACCTACTCTGAAAAAAAAAGAAACACACATGGGAATTCTTTGTGTGTGTGTTTCTCCTCTGCTGCAGCTGAAATGAATCTCCTACTCATTTTGTTTTACAATGCTCACACTCTGACTGAATTGATAAAAACATTACTAAGAAAGTGAAAGAAAGGCCCTGGTAGGGATAGTGGAGAAAAGTGAACGCATCTCTTATTGGAGAGATTAAATTATGAAACCAATAACTAGATGCAAAACTAAATTAATTAGTATGGAAATGATTTTTAATGCTTTTTAAAAGTATTAATTTCATTATTATCTTTCATTATTATTATCTGAAACTAGTACCGACACAGAAATGTTGTTACACATGTGCATTGTTACTCACAGAACAACAGCAGTTTTCTAATTAAGACATATCAACCTGCGCCACCTCTTGGTATGAAGAGGAATAGCTCTTGTAAATACCTAGCTACTGCTGGGCCTCTTGTTGAAGCAGCTTTTACTGATCTCTGTAGATGGAAACGTTTCTTCCCCATTGCTTTCCAAAATAAGCACAAGAAGAAGCCATTTGAAAATAACTGCACACGTACCCTTTATGTTTTAATTGCTGAGTGAAAAACAACCATTTAAACATGTTTGTATCCCCAACAGGTGAATCTCCAACAGGTGAAGCTAAAACAGTGGATTTCCTGGGTTTAAATGTGAACAGGTCGGCTGCCACAGTCGGCCAGTGGATCCTGTTGGCCCTCGGCATGCTGCTATTGGTGGTCACCATCCTTATGGCCTACATGTACAGGAAGGCAAGAAAGCCTGAAAAGTCCTTGTCTACTATGGAGCTGAAGCAAAAAGATTAGCCATGTTTGAAGACTGAACGACGAGAGTGAAGCCTGACTTACTGTAGCTGGCACAATACCAACCTCAATGTGAACATCAGTGTTTTTTGTGTACTGCACAACATCTGAACAAATTTGCTCCTCATGTTTTGTCTGCCTACCAAGTTTTGCATATTTATTGTATACACAAAAACACAAAATTCCTTACTTGCCTATGCAAAAGAACACATGCAATTTGTTTTTGTAATTTATTTGTAAGCTTTGATGTTAAAGAAGGAAGAGTTTTAAAATGAAAAAATGAAAATTTGTAAAGTCATTCATTGTGTAAGTGTTTCTGAATATTTGATTTTTTTCTAATAAGTTGAATCCTCAGCATTTCTACAATAAAGACATTAAATATTTATTCTGCCTCTGGAGACGTGACATGAATGAATTACAAAAGTTATTAAAAACAATTTCATTACAATAAAAAAAATGCACAGTAACATAAAAAAGGCAACACCACACGATGAAAAAAAAAAAGAGCTTGTGCACTGTTTTCAGCCCTTCCCTCTTTACTCACAGAGTCAATACAACCTCTTTAGTGGCTACAGTTGCACAACAGAACACAGTACCTGCAGGCTCTCAGGTAACACAGACTGGAGCAGTAAAGCAACACTTAGTCTCATCAGAGACTGTTTAATAACAGGCTTATAACAGCAGTCTATCATTACAGGTTTACCTTAACGGGGGCCACAGAGGCCTAGAAACAATCCAAGAGAAGGCTTACTGTCTTTTAAAAATACAAAGCTCAGTGACAGTGAGAAAACAAATTCATTAAAACAGTCAATTTAACGCAACTTGTTACTATATACAATTTATACGTACCTATGTATACTGGATCGTAAAGTCTCCACAAAGACATCATCCTACTAAACTAATCCAGTGTTGTGACTCCCTGTATGACATTCTTTAGATATGTATGTTAATGTATTAGCCTAAGATGATGTAATAAATAATACTCCCTGACTAAATCAACACACAGCTATTGCTTTTCAACTTGTTACAAACCTGCTTTCGGCGTACACTGCTGTGGAATTCAATGCAGGAAATTACAGTGCATCCGCTGGGGCTGTTTATGCATTTGAGGCTAGCGCCAAAACCATTCCAACGCAAAGTCAGGGTACATTTGATGTGAACATTCACTCATAAGAGAGCGGCTGCTGGTCATTATGTTCTAAGTGTAGGGGTTGAAAATGATCTATAAATCAGCTTATCTTGAATTAAATCCCTAACAGAGTCACTGACTCCTGACCACAAAGTGATAGAAGCAGAAAGGACATTTACAATCACAGATTAGCTATATACACTCAGATTAGATATGGAAATAGGCACGGTGTGAAACAGCACAACAAATGACCAGCAACATTTCTCAGAAATTTTAGGGAAAAAAAAGATATAAAAAAATACACATACAGAAAAAAAAATTCAGTACATTAGCTCCTACAACACAATCAAAACCAGTTATTTTTGTATGCGACACAGCTTCTAATGTACAAAGTACATGCACATTCACAAGCGCTTAACAAGTTACAATCTCTGGAACAAAATGTTCAGTGTATTGCACAAAAAAAGAGTCTATAAAAAATAAAACCATTAAAAAAAATGAATGCACTATCCACAGTTGGTCCATGTTGGTCCATGTGGCTCAGTCTAGCCCACGGTTTTTTGGCCTCTTGACACTGAGCAGTTCAGGGTTTAAAACAAAGGCCTCAGTAGTAGTAATGCTGCATCTCTGTCCAACTTGTGATCCAATACTTTTTCTGTGGCTCCTCGGGCTGAAACCCCAGATTGAACTGATAACGCTCAGCCCTGCGAATTTTCACTCCCTGGTGTTTTGGCATTATTCTGTAGTAGATGGCTCGCTTGAAGAAGCCAAGCTAGCAGGAAAAAAAAAGAAAGGAAGAAGGTGACATTAAAAAGTTTGAGAGCTGAGTTTTTTAATGGCTTAAGAAGAAGATTTAGGATTTAGAAGCTGAGTAGATTCACGCTGACAGAGACAGAAATACGCACTACCCTGCTGATTAAGGGAGGATTCACATATGTGTGTTCCTTTAAGGTATATCCTCTTATACAGATACCTCGGAAGTCAGATGTCAATCCTTGGGAGTGATGTCACTTCCAAGGTGACTGCATTCCAGTTGTAAAGTTGGAAAAGCACGTAAAAAATGTTTTTGTTCTGCTTCTTAGCAGTAGAGCCATTCATTCATTTATTTAACCAGTCATAAATACACAACGGTGGCAGCAGAGATCAAATGTTTTACATTTTTGCTACTGTTTTTCTTCACTGCCACCATCTTGTCAAGTTAGGGTTGGCTACTTTGGTGTGTGTTCCAGATGAAAATTCTAACTGGGAACTCTGAAATTCCGTCTTCCAACTTAATCTGGAATGCACTAAGAGTTGCTGGTGCAATCATCGATGTGGCATCAACCAATCAGTCTTAATAACATTATTATTTTTATTATTATAACATTATTTTTCTCAAGTATTCAGCAAAAGCAGCGCAAGGAAAGCCAGGCAGTGTATATATGTATATGTGAATCCTCCCCAAGATGGAAAAGAAGCAGTGAAAAAAAGTTAGCCATACAGAGATCAACAGTGCAGTGTTAGCCTGCAAGGAAAGCAGTCGAAGTGGTTAGTTGAATCACATCCCAAGCTCGGTGCTGTCACTGACAGCATCTACAGAAAAATCCTTTCAAAGGGGTGTTTTTACCCAAAAGCCCCAATGGTGTATGCTGTTGGGAGACATGGGGCCTCAGTAGTCCTCAGTTAGCCTCTCTGTCTCAGAGGGCTGGATCTTCATCTCAGCCTTCTGGGCCTTGGCCTCATACATCTCCCTCCTGCTGGCTCTCTGGAAGAAGCCACACTGGAGGAAGGCGCATGAATTCTGGGGTTAGACTAAGGTGTCAAAACAGAGGTTAAAGCTCAATAAAACACAATCTCACCTTCCATAGTATAAGAATGATGATTCCTAGCAGTGCAATTCCTGCTACAGCTGCAGAGATGATGATCCACAGGGGAAGCTCATAGGGCGTCTCCACCCTTTCCTCTGGTTCTATTTGTACTTTGAACTACAAGAAAAGTGAAGAACGTAATATATTATCATATCATAAGCATCATTTTAATTCCTGCCATCATCATCACATACCAAGGCCGTCTGACTCTCCATCTTGATGTTTGATTGATTATTAATAAGCTTCAGTGTGGCTTGGCCTTTAACTTCAACTACAAATGCATCAGAATAGTCCTGTAGGCACACACAGACACAACATCAGAACATTTTCCCAAATGTCAGGGCATAAACAGTAAAATAGGATTGTTATTTCAATCTGCACTTATTTATATTTGGTCATATAGCTCTTTTCTAGAATAAACTCCTTCCACATGTGTACAAGGAAAGCATGAGTGGGTAGGAAGCACCTTCCTGCCCTTCTATTTGCACACATGGAAATCCTGAGGCACGGACATGCCAGAGAAGAACACAGACAGCAGATATCACAGTGATCAAGAGAGACACAGCATGAATAGAAGACAACGTGTTTAAGTGTGAAGAAGCTTACACAGCACCTTGCCAAGTGAGTTTTTGGCCTACCAGATCTAACAGCACACTTGATATATAATTAAAAAATCTCCATGAATCTACAATATATATTAGCTGGGGAGCTCACCTCTAACATTGTACTATTCCACAACCGGGATCGGACATAAATCGTGGCTGAATTCGAAACATTGAGCAGCGGGCAGGTAAACGTCACACACTTTGCTGTCCCCTTGGAGCAATCCTTTAACAGGCCATAAGAAAGAAACTCTATTAGAGAGTGAACAGATACTGACAGTTAAGACTAGATTTAAAAAGAAAAATCCTATTATCTACAATGGATGACTCAATTTGTATATTAAATGTTAATGCTACTGACGTTGGTATTTGCCACAGTGTGAGGTTGTCAGTCCACTTATTTTGAAAGATATTAAATTCTGTACACAAGACTCCTCACATACAAATGTCACACATATACGCATGATTATGTTAAGGGAATATAAAGCTAGGACTTACCAACTGGTACCTCTTTTTGGGAGTAGAAGACAGTGTGACTGCTGCCTGTGGCTCAATAATATTTGAATGGGTCACGTCATTCTCACCTTTAACTCTAATCTGTCGCTTAGTACGCTTAGGTCTTCTCTCTGACAACTGCAAGATGGGAGAAAAAAAAGAAGAAAGAAAAAGGAAGAAAAAAGAGGAAACAGAGGAGACAGAGACATTACATCAGAGGGTTAATTACTGGTTTGATAAAGACATTATTACATTTTTCTCAGAATAGCATTGTCATTTCAGCTGTCTATATATAGGCTGCATACACTATGGCTTTCTATTTTGGGGCTTTGTGAGGTCTGTGTGTGGCGACAGATGTTTTTTTCCAAAATGTATTTCTGAACAGTGGTTTGGCATTAAGACCATTTTCACACCACTTTTCTAAAATTGACATTTATTCACACTGCGCTGACTTGAGTTTATGCTGACATCGGCTTGAGCAACACTCGTAACAAGTTGATGACCCACCTAGCTTAATGAATTCATGCTAATGAATTTCTCAAAGGTTGATATTTGAGAAATTGTATTTAGAGGTAAGGTTCATGGGTTTAAAATATATCTCACAGTTTATGGTTCAGTACCTGATGTTTGTTTAAAAAATGTAATGATAAGCCTTGGCTGTACTTTCTGTTTAGTGCTAATGAGTAAAAGCTAGCATGCTAATGTGCTAAATAAAGATGGTAAGTGAATTAAACATAAGCACTTTAGCTTATTTGGATGCTGATGGAATTTAACTCAGAGTATATGTCATATATTTACCTTTAAACTGCTGTTTAATTCTCTGCGTCTTTTGACACTGCCAAAGAGACTATGGAGTCCTCCTTGTTTAGATACCGCAGTCGTTGGTCAAACTATTCTTGACACTGTCACTTCTGTTCTAAACTGAAACCTAAACAATGGCTGAATGAAACTGTTCGCAGTGTCAGATGAGACCGCAGGAAAACAGAACATCAATAGCAAAAGGTAAAGTACAACTGTTTTTTGATATTCTTAAGGAAAACTTCACGTTGTTATCAAAGACCTGTAAAAGCTGAAAAAAACCAAGCAGATAATATTTTTAACAACTGTCACAGACGCTTAGTGAAATTAACTCTTTGATTAAAATCCCTCAACTTACTTAACTCATGACATGTTTCAACGAGGTACATCGTTTTTTTTGGGGGTTTTTTCAGTTTCAGTGATTGCTATGTGGAGTTCCCCAAGGTTCGATTCTGGGGCCAGGCTTGTTTTTTTACCTTTACAATTTACCCCTAGGATCCATTTTAAAAAGACA